GATACCCATGTCCCTGGTCGGAGCGTTTGGGTTCAGTTTCCAGCTCTGGCTTCTGAAGCCAGCTACCTGCTATTGCCGACCGCGGGAGGCAGCGGTGATGACTCAGGTAACTGGGTCCCTGCCGCCTACATGGGAGGCCTGCACTGAATTCTTGGCTCTTTGGCCAGGGCCCAGCCCTGGCCATTAGAACGGTTGCAGGCACTGGGAAATGAACCAGTGGATGGGAGATAGAGCTATCTCTCATGTGCAGATATCTCCCCCGCCCCACCGCCAATTTTAAAATTTTAAAAAAGAAATTTTAAATTTTAAAAAAGAAAAGAAGCCAAGGCACCTGTGTCACAGGCTTTTCCAGAGCTGAAACAGAAATGTCCCTCAGTGCACCTTGGCAGTCACAAACCAGCACTTTGATTTTCCCCACTGCAGTCTAGCGAGGCAGGTCTAATCACGTGGCCACTCAGCGAGACTGTCAGCGCCTTAGCGTGAGGAGCAGACAGCTGCCGACTGGGTCGTGCCGCCCAAAGCTGTCTGGAAGCATGAGCGGCAGCGTGGGGAAGAGCCCCCGGTGCCACCTTTGTTACCCACGCTCCTCCCTGGCTCACTGTTGGATGTGTTTCGGGCATCCTTGAAGCTGGCAGCGTGAGCTCTGAGGAAAGGCCGAGTGCACGGAGCAGGCAGCTGTGTGGTCTGTGACGCTGGCTCCGCACAGCTGCCAGCTACTCTGTGATTGAGCCCTGAGAATCCTTCCTCTTGAGGGCAACAGGTTCATAGAGGAATCGGTGTGGCTCATGCCAGGGCCCCAAGGGCCCTGGTGAATCCAGGGAAGTGCTCTGGGCTGCCTTCTGCAGCCCACTCTGTCCCCGTCTGGCTTTGGGACCCCATGCGAGTCACTGAACGTCCCTGGATTTAACGTTTCCTCTGAGGTCTCTCCCAGCGCTAAGATTCTCTGGCTCCTAGTGGACGTTCAGACACTTAGCACTCCGAACACCGCTGTTTAACTGCCGTGCTCCACAGTTTTATGTCCCGAAGTTTATATCCTGCCACGCAAACTTGGAATGTGTTTCTTCCTACTGTTGCGTTGTCTGATTAGGAACCGTGCTAGGGAGTAAACTGGGGGCCTGCCATGACTCAGCTGCTGCATGGACTTCTCAAAAAGCCAGATGGCCCTAGATTCTAGTGTGCCAGTTGAGCCTGTTTCTACAAATTCTCCCCCATCCCGGTCTAATAGAAGTAACCCGATCTCATGGCAGCTGGGCCAGATGGGTACCAAAGGACTGCCTGGGCATTGGACACCTAGCCCTTCTCCAGGTGCCTGTGTGCTCCGTGCAGGTGTACTGCAGATTAGGAACTGGAATCCCGGCCATCAACCAGTTAGCATTATCAAATAGGGGAGGCCAAAATGCTAGTACCAACAACTGATCTGCACAGAAGAGTCTAGGTCGGGGGGGAGGGGAGGACTGTTCTGCTTGCTGCGGTTTAATTATGACTGTGATTCAGATATGTTGGAAGCAATAAATGAGCCAACTCTCAGGACCAGCTGTCAAGCTCTTGGCTGATAATCTGCTGTCAACCCACTTGTCCCAAGAGCTCGCAGAGTGACAGCTCACCAGCTAGTTAGATAGTTGTCTTCTCCGGCTTTGATTGACCCCTGGGGTGCCCACCTGAGGATCTTGGCCAGCAAGGGGGCACTCCAGCTAGACTGTTAAATAGCCCGTGCTATCCCAGTGGTTTGAGTCACAATGACTAGCAGCCCTGGTTTTGTCTCCGATAATACAAAGGGTGCCAGAACCCTCTCCGTGTGCAGCGGAACGTAATCTCTAACCGTGTGCAGAGATGGCATCTGTAATGAGGCATGCTTGCACCTCCAGAGTTCCCTATTCTACAGTCACTTACTACCACTTTAATGAGTCTCCCTAAAAATAGTCAGGAGCGCTCACTGACGTCCTTGGATGTTGTACAGTTCACGGTTTATTTAGAGGAGACGGAGCCATCTTCCTCGGGAGAAGGATGAGTACTCGGGATGTCAGTGCGGTTGGCAGTAGGCATTCTGCCCTGCGAGAATGTGGAACTAGGAAGAAGACAGCTGTCAGTTACAGCTCAGAGAAGTACAAGGTTGAGGTGACGGCGCCGTGTTGTAGCAGGTAAAGCCACTGCCTGCAACGCCGGCATCCCATATGGGCGCCGGTTCATGTCCCAGCTGCTCCTCTTCCGATCCAGCTCTCTGCTAATGGCCTGAGAAAGCAGCAGAAGGTGACCCAATTGTTTGGGCCCCTGCCACCCACGCAGGATACCTGGATGTAGCTTCTGGCTCCTGGCTTTGGCCTGGCACAGCCTCAGCCGTTATGGCCATTTGGGGAGTGAACCAGTAGACAGAAGATCTAGCTCGCTTTCTCTCCCTCTCTCTGTAACTGACTTTCAAATAAATCTTTTTAAAAATTTTTTGAAAGAAGTACAAGATTGATGTGAGATGCAGAAAGGAAGGGTTAATAAATGGTGTTTGTGTTTGTCCAATACAAACTCCTCATCGCCTGCTTGGGACCCACCGCTGTGGCACCAGAGGGTATAAGGCAGCAGAGCATCATTCCTCTGCCTCCCATTTTCACTGCACAGTGCTGCGAGGTGTCTGTCATCTCCTTAGTTCGCTGTTCCCACTGGGAAGTAGAATGACCGGCTGTCTCCATGCTCCTGACTTGGCCCTCTGATGCCTCTTCGTGCTCTGGGCAGTTTAATTAGCAGGAACCGGTTCTTCCTGGGCCGGATCGAGTATCTGTCCCTCGGAGGCTGTATTTCTGAATGCCGCAACTCTGCCGTCTTGTAGATTCCCCAGCACACATCCCGGGAACGTCCGCCAGTCTCTTCTGCTCCTGTCTTTTCCTTGCAAGGACTGTGGATCCCCACTTCACCCTGACTCACATGCTGGGAAGAGGGAGTTGGAACAGGAACCCAACGCTGCAGGAAGAGGACACTGCCTCTTCTCCCATCCACCCCCTTCCCCACCCCCATCCCCGGAGCAGCCTGGACCCCGCAGACCAGAGCTTGCTGTCAAAACACCTTGCCTCGCATCTGTGCCACACAGGAGTGCAGCTACTTCTGTGTGCCCCCTCCATCTTTACCCTTAGATTCCAGAAGACACCACTGAGCCCTGCTGTGAGCTGCTCAGCACCTCAGCGGTTACCTTTCCTGCATCTCCAATTTGAATATGAGAGCATTTACAGAGCTCAGGTGACTTGCTCAGGGTCACACACCAAGTTGTTGGTGGAGACAGGACTGGGGCCCGGGTCTTTCTTTTATTATTATTATTATTATTATTTTTGACAGGCAGAGTTAGACAGTGAGAGAGAGAGAGGGACAGAGAGAAAGGTCTTCCTTCCATTGGTTCATCCCCCAAATGGCTACTACGGCTGGCACGCTAAGCCGATCCGAAGCCAGGAGCCAGGCGCTTCCTCCTGGTTTCCCATGCCGGTGCAGGGCCCAAGCACTTGGACCATCCTCCTCTGCTTTCCCAGGCCACAGCAGAGAGCTGGCCTGGAAGAGGAGCAAATGGGACAGAATCCGGCGCCCCGACCGGGACTAGAACTTGATGTGCCAGCACCGCAAGTGGAGGATTAGCCAAGTGAGCCGCGGCGCCGGCCAACACAGGTCTTTGAATCGCATTGTTTTGTTCCTCTGTGTTGTTCTGTATTTGTAGCTGCCCTGTTATGGATCTGTGAAGGTGACAGAGGTGAAGTGAAAGAGCAGATGCAGAAAAAAAAAAAGTGCCAAAGACAGGTTGCCAACAGTCAGTGCTGGACCAGGTCAAAACTAGGAGCCAGGAACTCCATCCGGGTCTCCCGTGTGGGTGGCAGGAACTCAAGGACTCGGGCTCTTGTCTGCTGCCTCCTTGGCACATTAGCAGGAAGCTGGATTGGAAGCAGAGTAGCTGGGACTTAAGTTTCCAGAATGAAATCAGCGAAGGTGGTGGCACTGACTCTAGTTTAAGTTCCCATTACTTCTGAATGAATCGAACCTGAAAGTTACAGAGAGCGCCCCCTCGCTAACTGACTTAATCCTTTTCTGTCCTCCAACTTTGACATCAGTTAAGCTCACCTGTAAGTAATAACAAAATTGGTAGGTCTAGCAAAACCAGGCTCGAGGCTAAATGAGAACAAAGGCAGTAGAAATTGCCTTGGCTTTCCTGAGACTCCAAGTCTCACATGACTGCTAGTGTTTCACAGTGAATGTCAGAGAAAGAATATGACATGAGAAAAACAGACCTTGTGCTCAGTGGGATAAAAAACATCTTTTAAAGATTGTAGCATACTGAGCTGATTGAGACAGGGACTGCAGCTCCCTGGCACAGCTGGACAAAGACTAAGTGGCTGGTGCAGGACTGGGGGCAGGAGAGGCATGGGGGCGAGGAGCTCCCAGGCAGGTGCAGGGCCAGCGGTCAGACAGTGAGGCGGGACGCTGCTGTGCGCTCCCCGCAGGCCTCCTGGTTCTCCCTTCCATTCCTTGAGCTGCCTGCTTATTTCCTTGAACCTTTGCTCTCATGTTGTTTCCAGTGGGAGGGAAATGCCATGGAGACCACAGTCATATCAGCTATCCTTTTCTCTTTAAAGTTTATTATTATTTGAAAGAGTAGCAGACAGGGAGAGTCAGAGATCTTCCAGCCTCTGGTTCACTCTCCAAAAGCCTGCAACAGCCAGTGCTGGGCCAGGAACTCCATCCGGGTCTCCTGGTGGGTGGCAGGAACTCAGTGTATTTCCTTTCTCTATGAACTTAACAGCAGGCATTCCCATTTATACCTGTCTGTGCCTCCCAAAGCGCCCAGCAGTAGACAAGCACGGAACCGGGCACGAAAGAAAAAGGGGGTCCGGGATAAAAAGCAAGTCTTCGTGTTCTTAACAACGACAGAGTCCGTCGCGCACAGTCCTCGTGCCTGAGCAGCTCTACCCCCGCGTCGACGGGAAGCAACATGCCAGTCCCTGTGCGCTGCCGCTGATTCCGCGTCTTTCTGTTCTCAGTGACCATGCAGCAGGTGGCCAGGACGGTGGCTAAAGTGGAACTCTCGGACCACGTGTGCGACGTGGTGTTTGCGCTCTTTGACTGCGACGGTGAGTGGAGCCCTCTGAGTGAGGAGGGCAAGCGGCTCTCTGCGCTTATGGGCACTGGGGACCACGAGCCTTGTACATGGCCCCCTTCTTCTCGGCATTGCGGTATGGAGAAATGCACCCCCCACACACACCCTGCTATGTGTTCCATGCTTTGTCTTGCAATTCCAGCTTTCCTGAAGGCCAAAAATGAATTTATGACCATTAGGCTCTTAAAAAATGGAATCGAAAGTCTTAGACCCAGCTTGCGGCCTGTTGGTAAGGAGCAGCCAAGTATTTTAACGTCCCTGGAAGGCTGTACTGGTCTCTCCTTGGCACTGCAGCTCGCACACTGGCCGGTGGTGTCTGTGGCCACTCTGATGGGCCCAAGGAAGGGATCCTACTTACACTCTGCGTTATTTTTCAGCTATGTTGGCTGATACAATAGAAAGTCACATTTTTTTCAGTGCTCACTTTATGCCCGTAAACCACTCTGTTGCAGCTAATCTGCTCACTTAATTTTCTGACACAGGTATTGTTATTAGCCAGATTTTATAGCTGAAGAAGCCAAGTCTCGGGCCCCAACCGCACTTGGAAGTATTTCGTCTTTCCCTCTCGCAACCTGGGAGTATGCGGAGGGAGCAAGCACAGGACCTGTTTAGCTCATTCCCCACACCTGCCCCAGAACCTGGCTTACACATATCCTCATGCAGCTTTGGTCACGCGACCCTGGCGCTGCGTTGCCATCAGACGCCTCTAGGAAGGAGTGAGCTGGTTCCTTGCAAGCTGCAGGCGTGTGCTGGGCTCAGGGGCCCGGGTTCTGTGGACGAGGGTCTCTCAAAGGCTCTGTTTCCGGGCCTCCACTTACCCCATTGTGTTTGCCTCTTCCTCCAGGCAACGGGGAGCTGAGCAATAAGGAATTTGTTTCCATCATGAAGCAGCGGCTGATGAGAGGCCTGGAGAAGCCCAAAGACATGGGCTTCACCCGCCTCATGCAGGCCATGTGGAAATGTGCACAGGAGACCGCCTGGGACTTCGCTCTGCCCAAGTAGGAGCACAGAGCTGCAAGGTGGGGCCGCCACCTGCACCCCAGGTGCCCTGGACCCTGGAACCCTTGAGCAAGAGCCCCAGTGTGGCCCTTCACACAGCTGCTTCTAAAAGTAGTGCGCCCTCCCTCCCAGGAGCGGCCTGGCCACCCGCCTGTCCCCTCTGCGCCCAGCCCTGTGTTCTGCTAGGCACTGGCTCTGCCCGTGAGTAGCTCCGTGGATTCTCACAGACACAGTCCCACAAGCTTGGCCCTGTGGCCCGGCCGGCGGCACCTGGAATGAAGGTGCAGGGACCACGCACCCCTGCCAGCCGGTCCTCAGCTCACTTTCTCCGCGGGTTTATACCAGCAAGGGTGCTCCTTGCTTGTCCTCGGGCTGCAGTTGTGTCGTGCTTTGCTTTAAGTACAAGCTGGGGAGACCTCTGGCAGGCAGAGCGCAGTCTGTGATAATGAAGGTGACCCAGCCAGCCAGAGGAGGGATCCGTGTCGCACCCCGGGCCGGCTCTGCAGCCAGGTCCGAGAACGCCACGTGCTCAGTGGGACCAGAGCGAGACTGCAGATTCAGAGTAGCTGCTCGCCGCTCTGTGAGGCGCTGCCCTCCTTCCCTCCCCGGCTCAGCTCCCTGCGCCGTGACTGGGCTCACGTCCCCGCCAGTGCCACCGAGCAGCCCTCTGAAGCTGAGCCTGTCTGCCCTGTGGCTTAAATACTTGTGGAATATCACTTTAATTATTAATTATAATGGTTTGCAATAAATGCCCCCGACGACTCCTGTCGCCTTTATTCTAGGATCGTCTGGGGCCGGGTGTGAGATGCTGGAGGCAGCAGGTCCGATCGTAGGCAGACAGAAGGGGCGCCCATTCCGCGGGCTCTGGTGGCGCTGTCCCAGGGTCTGGTTCCCAGTGCCCCAGAGGCACGCGCTCCTTATCCGCGCGCTCCGCGAAGGCACTCTGACAGGGGTGCGCGTGCAGGGTCATCCGTGGTGGTGGCCCTCAGTGTGGTGGAGCCGGCTCTGCCGCCGTCCCGCGCTGGTCTTGAGCAGGTCACTTCCCTGCCGTTCCTTCTTCTGTTCAGTGACGCCGAGGGCCGAGCTTTTGTGTCCAGCAGCCTCCGCTTCAGCCCTGCAGAACTCTGCAGGCTCCGGAACCTCCAGCCGACGTCATGGAACCACCAAACCAAAAGCCCAGCGCTTCCTGTGCAGAGGCGGGCTCTGAGCGCCGGCAGGCAGAAGAGAAAGGCCTGGCTGTGCCCAGCCCCAGCGTCTCCCCAGAGCCATTAACAACTGTTCCCCCAGCGTCCTTTCTGGAAACCAGATTCTCTCTCACAGGAGTGCGCCGCTCCCCCAGCTCACCTGTCCTCCACCCATGTGTAGGCTTTTTTTTTTTTTTTTTTTTTTTTGACAGGCAGAGTGGATAGTGAGAGAGAGAGACAGAAAGGTCTTCCTTTTTGCCGTTGGTTCACCCTCCAATGGCCACCACGGCTGGCACGCTGCGGCTGGCGCACTGCGCTGATCCGATGGCAGGAGCCAGGTGCTTCTCCTGGTCTCCCATGGGGTGCAGGGCCCAAGCACTTGGGCCATCCTCCACTGCACTCCCTGGCCACAGCAGAGAGCTGGCCTGGAAGAGGAGCAACCGGGACAGAATCCGGCGCCCTGACCGGGACTAGAACCCGGTGTGCTGGCGCCGCTAGGTGGAGGATTAGCCTAGTGAGCCGTGTAGGCTCTGGGCTTGCTCCTTGCCCCAGCATCCCCAAATCTCTCTCCCTTATCTATCTTCCTCTCTCTCACCTGAAAGAGAAGTTCCAGTAACGGCCTTGTGGGACATTCCCTGGCCTGTACCAGGAGGTCTGCCATTTGGCCCTGGCTCACTGAAACCGAGAGCCAGAGCACGGCGGGGGCAGGTGAGAAACTCACCCACAGCACCCTGAAGCCCGGGGCCCAGGGCCCCGTCACGAGCACCTGGCATCAGGCTGGACTCCAGCGGCTCCCGCAGCTGCCTGGGGAAGCGGAGTCCGGCGCTCAAGTAGCCCCGCTCTGTGTGGGACGGCGGCACTGCAGGCAGCAGCCTCACCCGCCACTGCCCCGGCCCGGCCCCGCGGCAGGACACCTGCGCAGATGAGGGTGCCCCCCCCCCCGTAAGGCAGCCATGACTAGGTTGTGAATGTGGAAACAATTACTAAGAAAGAGGAGGGTTAAGGGTGTGCACAATCAGGGCCAGCGTTGTGGCGCGGCTGTTAAGGCGCCTCTTGCAATGGCAGCATCCTGTGTCAGAGTGCCCGTCCGAGTTCTGCCCGCTCCACCTCCTATCCAGCACCTGCTAGTGCACTTTGGAAGGCAGGAGATGATGGCCCAACTAACCGGGCCTTTGCAGCCGTGTGGGAGATCCCAGATGGAGTTCCAGGATCTTGGCTTGGAATATCTCTTTCTGCCTCTCCCTGTCATTCTGATTCTCAAATAAGTAAAATAAATCTTTGTTTAAAAATAAGAATGTGCACAGTCTTTAAAAGTCATTACTGCGGGGGCCAGTGTTGTGGTGCAGCGGGTTGAGCTGCTGGCTGCAGTGCCAGCATCCCAGAGGAGCGCCAGTTCAGGTCCCAGCTGCTCCACTTCCCAGTCCAGCCTCTTGCTGATGCTCCTGGGAAAGCAGCACAAGATGGCCCAAGTATTAGGCCCCTGCCACCTGTGTGTGGACCCGGATGAAGTTCCTAACTCCTGGCTTTGGCCTGGCTCAGCCCCTACCGTTGGGGTCATTTGGAGAGTGAACCCACGCATGGAAAATCTATCTTTCTCTATCCCTCTCTCTGTAATTCTGCCTTTCAAATAAGTAAGAATAAATCTTTAAAAAATGGAAATTAGTGCAGTAGCTTTTGGTGCCCCCACCTGGCTTTTGCTCCAGTTGGAGCATATCCCTGACCATTTCAGTCTGGGAGGCCCAGCCCACGAGTGCGCCCAGACAGGGAAGGAGGCACTGCAGCAGCGGGGCCTGGCCTAGAGCTCCTGTCAGCTTTAGCCCAGCCCAAGGAAGGCCATGCGTCAGCGCGAGCAGCTCAGAAAACAGAGCGCAGATGGCTTCAGCTTCTGCCTGATATTTGAAATACAACTCTATTCTGAACGAAAAAAAACGGGAGTGACAGTGACAAGCAGGATTTCACCAGTGAGCGTTGTGATGTGGCTGTCAGCAGTCTTACACTGGACATTTGAAAACAAGCGCATTCCGAAACAGTATATGCTGGGCCGGGAGGTTCAGCTTTCAGACTTGAGGTGCCCCCTGCTGGCAGGAAGGCTCAGTGCAGGGGCTCGTTGGCCCAGAACCAGGGAAAGAAGGCTGCCTGAGCCCAGCCTAGGTCCAGCCCTACTCCTGCCAACAGGCCTGCCCCAGAACCTGGGCAGCACGGAGCCAGGTGGGACGAACAGCCTGAGACGGTCATAACCGTGAAGGGACACTATGGGCATGACTATAACTGGGAGAAGGCAAAGAGCTGTTATGTGGCCCCCGGATGGGTATTTTGATCGGCACGTGAGAAGGTTCATGTTCACTGTATTCGTCCTGCAGCTCTTTACTGATCCCTTACTATGGACCAGGCACTCGGCAAGATTTTCAGAGAGTTTGCACAGTAGTGAGGAAAACAGAAAAGCCACAATAGAGTAAGCACAAATAAGTGTAAGAGCAGAAAACCAGAAGGACCCAGTGCAGACAGGAATGCAAGGCAGGCTTCCAGAGGAAATGGGGTGGTTTATTATTATTATCATTAAAAAAATACTGAGGATCAGCGTTGTAGTGTAGTGGGTTAAAGCAGTCACCTGCTGTGCCGGCATCCCATATGGGTGCTGGTCTGTGTCCTGGCTGCTCCACTTCCGATCCAGCTCCCTGCTAATGGCCTGGGAAACCAGTGGAAGATGGCCCAAGAGTTTGGGCCCCTGCACCCACATGGGAGACCCAGATGAAGTTCTGGCTGTGGGCTGTGGCCTGGCCCAGCCTAGGTCATTGCGGTCATTTGGAGAGTGGACCAGCACATGGAAGATTTTCTCTCTCTCTCTCTCTCTAACTCTGACTTTCCAGTTAAGTAAGTCTTTAAAAACAACACTGAGGGACCAGAGTTTGGTGCAGCAGGTAATACACCAGCTGGGACAACCGCATCCCGTATTGTAGTGGCTGGGTTTGATGCCAGCACTGCTTCCAATCCCAGCTTCCTGCTAACGCATACCCTGAGAGGTAGCAGACAGTAACTCAAGGAGTTGGGTCCCTGCCACCTACGTGGGAGACCTGGATTGAGTTCCCAGCTCCTGTCTTTGGCCTGGCTCAGCCCTGGCTGTTGTGGGCATTTGGGGAATGAACCATGCTGACTGTCTCTGTCTCTGCTTCTGCCTTTCAAGTGAGTAAGAATAAACAAGGAGCCAGCATCTTGACACAGTGAGTTAAGCTGTGATGCCATCATCCCATACAAACACTGGTTCAAGTCCCAGCTGCTGCACTGCTGATCTAGCTCCTTGATAATGCACCTGCTAAAACAGCACAAGGCCTCAAATGCTTGGGCCCCTGCCACCCCCATGGGAGACCCAGATGGAGTTCCAGGCTCCTGGCTTCCGCCTGGCCCAGGAGACTGAACTTGCAGATGGACTCTCTCTCTCTCCCTCTCTCCTCTCAGCTTCCAAATATTAAAAAAAATAATAATTAAAAAAATACTGAGACCCAGGAATTGCATAGGAGTTACAAAGTGGGGAGGAGGAGTAGCAGGTGGAGGCCGGGTGTGCAGAGATGCGGAAGCCAGAACAGTACATGTCACTCTGGGAAGAGCCGCTCTAGAGGGTGTCCAGCAGCCATCAGGGAGGGATTCTGTGACAGGAACCAACTAAGCAGCCGTTCATAGGAAATACGCACACGTAAATAAAGTGGGAAGAAGCATGCTGGAGATGTGAAAATGCTTAGAAGTGAACGTGGTCATGAGACCCGCGGATTAAAACGTGAGACCGCCACAGGGAGACGGACCCACGTCCTAGCAAACTGCTGTGCTTACTCAAAGGTGGGCTGACCGTTAATAAGCTAAGCATCTGCTTCAAGAAGTTTAAGAACAGGGTGAAAGACAAAAAATAAGTATTGTGGGTAGTTAGATCAGATGGGGTTAGCGTGGCGATGTGCTTTGGGAATCTCCCCAGAACTTGAGTTCTACCAACCCTAAAGCCAGCTAAGCACGAACACGTGACATCTGCAGGTCCGAGACCAGCGTCAGCTCCATCTCTTCCCGCAGGGAGACGGCCACTAGAGGGCACGGAAGGGAAAGGACTTGACTCTGCTTGGCAGGACGGCCCAGAGCCAGAGCAGCTGGGTGCCGCGCCCTTCTCCTTCCCGCCTGCCCTGCCCAGCGTCCTGGCTCCCTCTCCAGGTGCTGTAGGGAATGTTCATTTGCTCCTTTACCTGCTAATTTACTGAAGTGGAAAATCCAGTTACCCATCAGTCACTCACACTCCTGCCTGAATGGCTTTCGTCTTCATTGTGAGGCTGAGATTTGCTGTTTAATTTTTTTGTACACCTCTGCGGGGTACAGTGTGCTCCTTCAGTATGTGTGTACAGTGTGTACTAACCCCCACTCCATCTCCTCACTGCTTCATGTTCCCAGCCTTACAGATCATCTTTTCCAGGAATTCACAAAATATGTGGTGCGTTATTGTGAGAATCGGGGTTTTTAGGATTTGTTTATTTGAAAGGCAGAGCAACAGAGAGATGGGAAGAAAGAGCTTCCACCTTCTGGTTCTCTCCCCAGATGGCTGCGCC